GGGGTCTCACTCTGTTGTCTAGGCTGGTGTCGAACTCCTGGGCTCAAGCAATCCTTCTGCCTTGGCCTTCCAAAGTGCTGGGATTATAAGCATGAGCCACCCCACGCAGCCTGCAGTACCTTAATTTTCACTGCAATATGATTTCATAAATGGTGTCAGAGAGTACAATGGTGAGAAGCAGTTTGAATTCAATACAAAGGACATATATATGCTTAAAGAATAAAATTCTGAATTCAGCCATATTCCAAAAATATCTATGTACTAAACTAAACCAAACCAATCAAACAATTACAAAGAAGACAAATCAAAACCAAACAATAAAAGAACATTGGTTAATTCTCTTCCATAGTCAGAGGATTGTGTTTTAGGCTGTGATGTATACAAATATTTATTAAGTAACCCCTCGGATTAAAATCTCAGCTGGGAATTTTGAAATTATGTCCCATAGGAGAACTTTGATGGATCTTCCTTCCCTACAACCCATACTGAAATTTCCTTTTTAAACAGAATATTTAAAACATTTTTTTTACCCTTTTATCCAAATATGGAAAGAAAACATCTCAGGTTGTTAGAAAAGGGAAATCTCTGTCCTAAATAGATTATAACCTAGCAGTGGGATATACTTTTGCTATTTTGTAAAAATAGGAAAAGATCATGATAAGTGGATTAATGCGCTTTTAGTCACTGTTGGATGAGTCATGTCCGTGAAATGAAAAGTGAACAACAGGTACTGCCAGCTGAGAGGCAATGGGATGGAAAATCCCTTATTTTAAAACCTCAGGCTTTTGCAAACCACATAATAAAAATCTGCTCTATTGATTCACTGACCCTCAGGAATAGATACAGAATAAGATTTTGTTTTTAAATGAGGACAGGAGGTAAGAGCAAATATTATTCTAAGCAAAAATCTAGGAATAACCCCATTTTGATTTAATATGCCGTTTGACATTTTTGAATTTAAATTTTCCTCATCTGTAAAATGAAAACTGAAACAGGTAAACCCAGGCTAAAATTATGTACCACTATGGTTTTCATTTGACAAAGACGTTGCCTAATTCTACTTTAAATAGCACTGATTTTTTGCAATTTAGATTTTCATTGTAATACATTCTTTTGTTGATTTATCCATCAAGCATGTATTATGTGTTACATGGGTAGCAGGTACAATGGAGACTGAGAGATTAAAAACATTCATAATAACTGAGCCCCTTAGCACTGTTAAGTGTCTTGCATGGATTATTTCATTTATTCCTAACAAATAGTTACTATTATCATCCCTATTTAACAGATGAGGAGACTGATGTCTCAGGGTGGTTAAGAAACAGTCTCTTGTGCTATTCTGCCTCTCCTTGTTTTGCTGAAAACATGCTCTCCATACACAAATCATCCAGAGAACAAGTCTGAGGATGTAATACAGAAATTTGCACTTTTGATTATGAGTAGTCAACTGAAGATATTTAAATGCTGAAGGAATTCAAAGAATTCCTGCCATGGGGTGCAGATGGTTCCAGAGAGCTTCCCTGCATGAGTAATGAAGTTACTGCCTTAGACAGGTAACAAGCAGTGATGATTTTATGCCTAAAATGCTGGCTCTAGCTCTAAGCTTACACATCAAACTCAGATGAGTGTAGAGTCAAATGCCCAGGCTCCAGTCCCTAAAAACATCTTGTCTTCCTATCTCCTGACAACTTCTGGGCAAGCAGCAAGGAGTTGGCACATACCCCAAAGCCTAGAGCCATTTGAAATTCTGGCTCACAGTTTTGAATGACATTTGTTTCCTAAAGAAATGTTCATCTCTTTATGCACATGTAGGGATCTGGGATAGAATTTTTATTATTGGTAAACTCAGCTGCCTGTTAGCCAAGGACCAGAGAAGTTCCCTAAATAACGGCTTATGTTGGATGTGTTGTGTGTTGCTGTACTGAATGCTACTAATTCATTAACTTAGCACTTGTCGCCGATTCACGTTCTGAGCCCTGAAGTAGCAAGAATCAATGCAAAGTAAGTCATGCACTGTACACACACCAAAAGAGGTCTCCTTGGGACTAGAGAAGATTAAACTAAAGAGGTTCAAAATCTCATTAGCTACTTTGTTTTCTCAAAGTGTGTGTTTGTTCAGCACTCCTGTTTTCTGTGTTGTGAATTCTGATGCTTTTTACTTGATTAATTTCCTTAAATTTGAATACAAACACTGTATACAAATAAACAGATGGCTTCTTGCAAAACCAACTGTCTCCCCTTCTTTGGTTTTAATTCATCAACATCAGGAAGAACCTATATTTATGACTTTTATTCTGAAGAGTTGCTTCAGCTATTGTTCTGTGCATAGAACTCTCAAAGGCAATTAGAACTCAAGATGTGAATTGATGGTTGAATTGGGGTGTAATTAAATAGCAACAATAAATGGGACCAACAACACTCCTAAACGTCCCTACTTGTGGTTAGTTCATGTTACAGAGAATGATAAGTCTAGAACTCCGGAGGACTGATACTTAAAAATACATATTTACCATGCACTTAATCCTCCTAGAGTATAAAAATAATTATTTTATTTTCTATAGTCTTTTCTATAATGTACAGATGACAGAAGATAAACTAAGTGCTTTGTTGTAAAGATTGTAACAGCTATGAAGTTGTTAATAACCACTCAGTTAATAATCATAACAATTAGATATATAAATTACAACACTTATCTAAGCCATGTGATATTCCATCTTTCACTGTTGACAGAAAGACTTTCTGATTTATAGCTCTTCTTATTTGTAAAAAACAAGCACTTTGGGGTCCATAGGATAAGAATTCCATTTTGATGCTGCTTTCCCTATACCATACCAATGCTTTATTTCAGTTTATAATTTTTTCACCTTTTATTCACAGTGTCAAGGTATTCACTTGTTGCCTATCATGAAAATATGTAATGTATATTTTAGTCACATTCATTCATGGAAGGAGGCACATCCCTTCTGTTAGCAAATTTCTCGACTGTAAATGGTTTTGATGGTACCTTTCAGTAGTGTTGTGTCTTCTTTTTTAAAAAATTAATATTTATAAGGAGAATTTAAAAAATGGAGATTCTTCAAAGGCCTGGAGCTAGTCAAAGAGTTAATGCCAAGCTCACCTCAAATGACAAAAGAAGACTGGACAGAGAACTATTTTTAATGATAGTTAAATGCTACAGCAAAGACTGATAATTAATGATGACAATAATCCTGGAAGTAGCATCTCAAGGGATGAATTTTGGCACTTATAGTTGAACCCATTTTTTCAATAAAGATAAAATCCATGCCAGATAAACTGTACTTATCAATTCTGCATAAAATACACATCTAAAAAGAATACCCTAAACATTAGGTGAGAATCAAGATTCACAGTGATTTGAAGCAGGACCAACCTTTTCATCTAGGATGAGATTTAATAGGGATAAAGGCAAAAAGATACACTAAAAAAAATCAGCTACAAAGGTACACACAGGGGGATTTGCAGTTCACGTGGATATAACTTGAACATTTCAGTCTCCAAGGGGTCCGTGTAGCTGCCAAAGAAAGACAACACAATCTTAGGTTGCATTAATAACATGTGGTGTTCCAGTTTAGAGAGGTAATAATTTGGTTTTATTTTTCATTAGCCAGACCACAGCTTATTAGGAACATGGGTTGGATTCATTGACAGATTAATACACCTGAGTTAGTGAAGGATATACTAAATCTGTAACAGCTAAATAACTGAAAGTATTTGGCATGAAAAAGAGAAATTAAGAGAGACATGCTAGTGGTTTTCAAATATGTGAAGAGCCTGTCTCTATTTCTGTGCCAATACCGTGCTGTTTTGGTTAGTGTAGC